TACCGCGTCTAACGTTCTAAAGAATACATCTTGATCATTTACAGGAATTCCAGAGGATGTCTGTTCTTCACTCTGCCTGGCCAGGGCAGGTGAATTACTACTTTCAGCGGGTCTATAATCTCCCGCTTCATTCCTAGAACTACTACGTTCGGACATCTATAAAAATACAACCATATAGTTCTATTAGCAAAACAACATACTTACTATTCCATCATATCAGAAGTTTCCACTATTTTGTTGGTATGTATACATTATCAGACACTCTAGACTCCGGTTTATGCCGATAATCGAGTAAACCGTAGCTCTGATACCATTAAATGTAATACCCCTAACTCATATTCGACCCGAATACAAGTCCGAGATGACACATTGACTTTTCAAACTTTGATTCTCAAAGAAAAATCCCGGGAATTTAAAACTTTCATTAAAACAAAATACTTTAATTTACATAAAAGAGACCACTTAATACAAAATCGATCAGAGCATTCGTAATTAACCACTTATTACATACCAACACTTTATACACAATAAAATACCTACTTTGTCAATTACTTCTGATATGGTTTCTTAGTAATGTTGCTGTCCGTGCCACTGCTATTCTGAATCTTCTTATTTCTCGGTACCTACGTGTAAATCACTTACACGCTAAGTCATAGACTTAGTGAGGCAATAAATGAATATGCAACAATATCTTCATGAATATGCATTCTTACCATTTCCTTCATGACATTTTCAATATGCATGTATCTATTACACAATAACATATATAATCATATCATGCATGTACAAAACTTACCTTCTTGTACCACTTTCACTTTACTTTGTATTTAAATTGCCCATGTATATTGTTGAGAATAGAGGTATGTGAGTACATAGAGGTTGTGCACTAATGCTGTCACCACAGCTCGTATCAATTCCCTCATGGGGCACCGAACCTTAGTTCAGTATTCGTCCCGAAGGACTGTCATATATGTCCCGTAGGACCACTACATCCTGAAGGACTACGCCCCGAATGACTATTATACCCTCGACTCTTGGCATGCCAATTACACCTATAGCTCTCATATCGTATACTATGGGCATTATTTTTATATTCCATATGTTCATGTACTCATGTCATTTCTCTTATGATCATATAGCTCATGTTATTTCTCTTGTGATCATGTAGCTCATGTCATGTTCTCATATCACATAACATATCACATGTGTATTTGAATCTATTCATATATATACATCATTTATCCAATCACATGAACATATATATGTCTTATGCATGTATTACAATAATTATCATGTATGCATGTTCACAACTATTGTACTATGAAAATCAATATAGGAATTAGACTTATCACAAATCTTATTCCATTATACTATACATATAGTATGCACTCACCTTAGTTTTTCTTTGATTCGATTCTAATCTTTTGATCGTTCCGGAATAAGCTTACTTTTAGTATCTACATAATCACACATGGATCTATATCAGTATTATAGCTAATATACTCTAATGGTTCACTCTTTAGATTAAGATAAATGCCAATTTCCTCTTTTAATGAAGGTATGCATCGATGCACTACTTGTGCATCGGTGCATAAAATGCATTCAATGTTTTATTATTAATGGGATGCATCGATGCATGTCTTATGCATCGATGCATGTCTTATGCATCGATGCACTAATTGCATTCGATCTGTTTATTTTAAAAGAGTGCATCGATGCACTACTTGTGCATCGATACACCTTCAAACAATTTCTGGGTTTTAACATTGATGCATCGATGCACTATGAATATGCATCGATGCACTCTGCCCAGAATCCTCTTTTTGAACCCGAAAATTCATTCATTTTGGATTAAATCCTTCATGTTTAATCCTCTTTTTCATTCTTAACTATAGTACACATCCTTAAACCAATTTATACTCATTTATTTCATCTTAAACCTCCAAATTCTATCCTTCATATGTAATTCAAGAATTACATCAATAATTCAACATGTTTGAATTCCGCTTTTAACACTTCACATATCTTAACTAGACTGATGACAAGTCAAATTTAACTTTCAATTCTAGTTATGAACTCTATTCCAAGATTTCATTTAAGAACTTCAAATCTTAAATCTCTCCTAACTCCATCATCCTTTGATGTTAAGATAACTTAAGCTTTCCTTAAGCTTAGTTATCATCTAATAATCAAAACCGAATATTAAATTTAACAAGAAACTCAATAATCAGAAATCTTACCTTTGCTTTGGTTCACACGCACAAGGAAGAAAGAAGAAGAAGAGAACTCTGGAAGCCTTGGGTGTTTTCTCCCCTTCCACTCACGTGTATCCTTATATCTATACTTATCATTTCTTTAATTATTTTTCCTTGCAATTACTCTATTGTCCTTCCATTCCTTATTCCTTTCAATTCCATCATACACAATAATTTACATGTAAATCTTTATACTATTCATTCATTTTATTTTAACCACCAAATTCTGAGACTTTACAATTTAGTCACTAACCCGGTATTGAGGATGTTACAGTTTTGCCAAATTTGAACCTGAAAGCCTTTGAATTGACCCGTTAAACTCAATTATGTATATGTAATTTAAGTATTTATTTAAGTGATTTAATTAAGTGCATCTAATTTGAGGATCAATGACTAAATTATTATATAATTTAATTAAGGTACATGTGATTCATTCCGACAGTTCGTCTGCTCGGCCCAGTTCCTCCCGACTTGCTCGTCCGTGAGAGCCCGTGATTACTCGTATAGTTCTGCAACCCTGTTAAATACTCAATTTAGTGTACTACTCTGATAATAATTTTTTCTGATATTAATTAGGTTCTCGTATAGTCGAAGAGTGTAGTGAAGCTGGTGCTTGATAGATCTACCAGACTGATTTTTTTTTTTTGCAAGGTGTGTTCCTTGTGTGTTATATACATATATGTTTTATATATGTTTGAAATACCATGTGCACATGACTGTTTTACCTGATTTAGAATATGGCTAGCTGATCTGATTTAATTTCACATGATTATCTGTTTCAAGACTGATTTATGATTTACTGAAGTTTTAAGCCTGCTTATTTGATTCATGTTCTCTGGTTACTTTTTTACTAAATTAATATCTGTTTGAACTCTGATTTCCTTGCTATTGTTAATTACTATTTGAAAATTATGCTCTTTGGGGGTAGTCTGGGATCTAGTATGAAGTCTGTATAGGTTTAGCTTCGATCAAACTAGTAATTCCTTATATAGGTTCAGCATCGATTAAGCTGGTAATTTGTTACGGACCCTAAGGTATTCCTTTAGGGTAGCTCCTCTACTATGTGCATTAGGTAAGTCATTATGGCCTAATGGCACACCCCTCAGGTGGGCACCTACGTTTCGGCTAGGGTAAGACCTTATGGACCCAATGTGCTCTCTTAGGTTGGTACCTACGCCCTTTGGGCCTAGGGTAAGTCCTTATGGATGCAGTTCTGGTGAACTGCATATGGTGTACTGTTGGAGGGTTGTTTTATATTTTAAACTACAACCCTACTATCGTTTTCATAACTTTGATAATGAACCTATTTTGAAACTTAACTGTATGTTTTTATTTTGCACTGCTGAAACACACTGAGCTCCCTAGCTCACCCCCCAAACTTTCTCCTTTCAGATACTTTTTTTATAGGAGACTCGGACCTGACACTTGGAGGATCGACGCATTCGCACAAGATTATTTTGTTGTAATGTTTTTATCTTCTGAGTTGCATTTATTTTGGGTGACATGTGCGTATATTTTGAAAATAATTGTTTACGACGTATGTTGTTTTTGTTACTGATGTTAGATTAGCTTTGATACTTATTGTGGAATATTTTATTCAGTCCTTACGACTTTAATTGTTGGAATTGAACTTTAATGTTATCAACTATATTTTTAAAGATGTTTATTCGTAATATGGTTTTAAACTATTGAAAAATATTTTGGAAAAAATTATCATAATATGCTAGATCTGGTCGTAAAGCATAGGTCGGGTCTAGAGGATTACACATAAAATTCTTATCACTTAACCATAATTCCCTTGGGCATCAACTTAAGCCCACTAACACTAAACTTGGTCCAACTAATTATAAAGTCTTTTGGGCTCAACTTTAAGTCTCGGATTGACCCAAACTACTAACCCGAGATTCGGGATGTTACATACTTGTCATTTGGTAACTACAATGATCTTTAAAGAAACCCAATACTAAAGCAAAAATCTATTTGAAGCACATTAATTAGAAACATTAGGTGGGCAACATCTCACCAAAAGAGATGGACTAACCTCCCATATCATATTATATTGCAAGGATGACGCCATATTTTTACAAAAAAAGATAGGATCTAATAAAAATCCAAAAATTATTTTCATAGCTTTCGTTCATAAATTTTCAACATATTGATAATTAATACATATCTATAATTATTTGAACTCGAGATTAATAGAGAGAATAACACTCAATTTTATCACTCAATTGAATTCCACTATAATAACATTAACATGACAATATGTGCTTGGCTAAAAGATTTATTGATTATGATAATGGAAATAAAAGAGTTGGAAAAAGCATATTCTTGATGTTGTGACATCTTTACACAAAGCTAAAATGAGCAATGGGCAGATGAGGGGGGCAATGGAACGTGGGAACCTTTATAATGGCACCGAAACTAAGCAAATGTGAGAGCCGTAAACAAATTTATATTAATGAGCACTTTGTGTTGTGTACAAGCTCCAAATGGTGTCTTTCTTGGGAATATCGTTGTCATTGGATTGTGGGTGATCGGCAGTTTAAGTGACTTGCATTCTAAGGGATGGATTTTAGTTGGTTAATTAGGTGTAACAAGAGAGTAGGCTTAGTTTCAGCTAAAAACAAGACACACCATTATGTATAATTTATAATATAAATGAAGTAAAATCATATGAACGATAAAACATACCAAAGTTAAAAAGAAGAAAATAGCTATTTATGAAATATAAAGATGCCCCATCCCCCTCTCTTTTCGTGAATGAAAGGCAACCATCAACACTGCTAACCACTTACTCAAAGGTATTCAACTGTAAAATTACATGGAGTTGTTGAATCAACACTAACTGTGAAATTGACTTCGATTTCATAGGATTTTTCATTTTAGTAATGACAATCTACCAAAGCTGGTGTGGAGAAAACAATAGCTTGAAACTGGGAATCTCTGAGATCATCTTCTGGTGCCGGAAGATTAAGATCCAACAATGGCTTGTTGGATTTGCTTGCGGTATTAATGCTGATTTGATCGGCATTCATTCCGGGTTGATCGGTTCCGGCAGCGGTTGCTGCCGCCCTGTGCCATCTCATGTGACCTCCAAGAGCTTGACCAGACGTGAACTCGGAGCCACATATGGAACACTCGTGAATCTTATTACCCTTTTTGTTACTTAATCGTTCAGCCATGACTGCATCATCGACTGCCAAAACTAGTGGTTTTTTGTGCTCGATGGCGCTTTTCGGCTTCTTGTGGCTTGCCATATGCCCTCCTAGTGCTTGGAAAGAAGGGAAAGATCGGTTACAAGTTTTGCACTGGTACACATAAAACTCCACGTTCCTTCTCGGACCATCACTTTGTGCCAACAGGATTAGGCAATTAGCCATCTCCTCTTCTTCCTCGGTGCTCTCGTAAATCCGATCACCGGACGTTGTAGTCGGAGAGGAAATCGAGTTGTATTCCTCTGCCACTCCTCCTCCGCCACTTGATGAGCTAGAAGTCACCATGACACCGAACAGGGACGCCGGCCTTTGGCGCTTCGTACGCTTGCCTTTCATGATCAAGGTTTGGCTATCATTAAACCCCAAAAATCCCTCTTGAGATTGCATATCCACACCTCCCCCTAAACCAAAAGCCGACCAAAAATAGTTTCGAAAGACAGAAAATTGAAGTGAAGAAATAAGCTATTAATGTGACCCAAGTAAAGGAAATGAGTAGCAGCTAGAAAACAACAAGAACGATTATGAAGCAAAGATAGAGAAATGGGGTTCTTATATATTGGTGGTGTTTGTTTTTACAGAGATAAAATATTTGCAGTCTGCAGATCACTGCAGGCATCTGCAGCAGAAGAGGTGGATCAAAAGTCTGCAGTCTGCAAGAAGAAGACTGTTTATTTTTTAACGTCTACAGACTGTTAAAATAAACTGAAATATAAACAAACTGATTTTTTAAACTTAAAAGAGTTTTGCAATACTGAAATTTAAATAATTTTACTAAAATTTAAGTAATCCATACAACTACAATAATAAATTTTTTAAAATAAATCAATCCATATTTTAAAATAAATCAATTCATATTTTAAAATAAATCAATTCATATTTTAAAATAAATCAATCCATATTTTAAAATAAATTTTTCCATATTTTAAAATAAATTAATCTATATTTTAAAATAAAATTTTTCATATTTTAAAATAAATCAATTAATATTTTAAAATAGATTTTAAAATAGATTTAAATAATTTTAATTTCTTTGAAGATGTTTAAAGACTTTTGAAGATATAAAACAATGTCTACCAAAAATACATCGCGCAAACGTTAAAAGAATTTATGTCTTCAAAAAATCAAACGGCCACAATAAAAACAAACACCACCGTAATGAATGATGACAAATGTAATGATTGATTTATTATATATATATATATATATAGAGAGAGAGAGAGCCAAAACTCAAAATATACCGTCCATGAATAGTATAAAATATCGTGTTGCATACAATACACCCACGTCTTTTTGATCTTTTCATTTCCAACTTTTAAAGGTATTACTACTAGTAAATTGGGTGTTAAAGAATTTGACAAAATATCGAATTTCAATCTTATGGGGGAAAAATAGTATAATGTTAAAAAAATTTATCGACTCAATCTGGTTTTGAATATGAACAAGACTAGGGAAAGGTATAGGTCGGATTTTTGGTCTATTCGATCAGATCTGAAAATTATACACCTTCCATTCCATTCAAACTCGATTCGAAAATTATACACCTTCTATCAGACCCGACCTTTTGAGATAACGCGATCCAAAATAATATATTTATAACAAATATTACTTTTATTCAATAAAAAATAGAGATTTAATTGAAAAATAATAATATAAAGAGAAATCTTATTGTAATTATTTCTAAATATATAAAGTAAAATTATATTTTTTAGGTTGGGTCAGATATTTTTCACCTTATACTCGAACCCGACCCAACCCAAACATAATCTCTAAAAAATTCAGACTCGACCTAACCCGAACCTGAATTGTTTTATTAAAAATCTGATCCGACAATATCAGATCCGATCGAAACCTGTCGAGTATGATGCCCATCCCTAATCAAGACTCGTGTGACGACTTAAACAGTAAAGATCATAAATCTAAAAAGAACACTTCTCTATAATCCTTCTTTTATGCCTAATTTTGAGAATTTTTATTTTTATGAAATATTTATACTTAATAAATTTCATTAATTACAAATAAATAGACGATTAATGTTTGGTTTAGAACTATGAGAAGCATATTTAGCTTTGGTTAACAAAATCCTGGTAGTACCTTAGGGGGAGAGACAAGTAGGAGTGTATGCAAAGAAAAGAGTGTAGGATTAGGTGGAAAAGAGAGGGTGGCGGAAGGGGGCCAGAATGAGGGTTAGGACAGTTCAATTGAGTTGTTGTTAACGTCAAGTGACAGTTTCATCACACCCCCAATACTTTATAACCATATAAAAAAAGAACCCTTAAATTAAACCCAAATTTGAGGGACTGCACGTTAAAAAAGCATGGGATGCTACCTTCATTTATTCCCATCTCTTCTTCAAACCAAAACGAAACCACATATTCTATTATTTTATTAATTATTTCCATTACAATATTAACTTGGATTAAAAAACCCCTTTAAAATAAAAAAAAATCATAATAACGTGACCGGTTTAAAACAAAATATGTATCCATAGTTTTAGTTATTTTAATTGGTTAATGAAAATATAAAAGTAAAAGATTTGTTATGTTTTTTATTAGTCTGTGTAACTATATGATAATATATATTTAAAATTTTGTTCAGAAATTTTTTAGTCATTGACAATGTATAAATTCCATGCAGATGTAACTACTTGAATTTAAGACCTTTACGAAAACCAAAATTTTCTTTAATTACTGAGATCACTCGAAGATTTGCAAGATTTGTTAAACTAAATATAAGGATAAAACCACGATTTAACATATCTTATATCATGCTAAACTTGAAATGCATTAACATCGTAATATAGAATGTTGATGACAATGGCCAGTGCCCTACCCAACGAGTAAAAAAAGGAGCACAAGTGTCAAGTGGGGAGGAGGTTTATTTCGCAAGTCATAAAAAGTTCCATATGACTGTGTAACAATTTCCTATATAGTTGGATCACTAATATTCTCCTCAACCGTATTCATAGAATCAAATGATTTGGATGGCAGATTTTGGGTGTCCAATATCAAAAGAGAAGATTTCAAGGAAAATAATCTCAAAGATTTAATTCTCGAAAAATCACAAGTAGCTAATATGATTTTTGACGTACCCATAATACCTACCAAAATTAAATTCATTGTCACCTAATTGTATCCACTTAGCCTGTTAACCTATAGGCATTTATTATAACTCTATAACTCACACACATTAACAAGTCTCTATATAACTTCTTGAACTTGACAAAGAGACAAGAGGAGACCTTTACAAAATCATATCACCTATATTCTTTCTTGCTTTACCTCCTTATAGAGACGGAGCACTTTGCCACCAACTACGATTTTCCGTAAAAAAAAAAAGTAAACAGCCAATAACAAGAACAATTTATTTGGTGTCAACATACATAAAATATAAGATCATGTATAGATAGAAATTTCATGTAAATTTATTCTAAATATATAAATCTTATCATATACAAACCATATTTAGAATTATTCCATTCTAAATTCGGATGAAATCCGATCATTTAACTTTGTAACGAAAGAATTTCATATGATTTGGTTGGTATCTAACTGAAAAAATATGATACGGAGTTAGAGTTACATGTAAGCCAAATATAGGTCAAATTGTAATTTTGGTTCTACGTTTGAATTGAAAACGTTAATTTGATATTATTTAAATATTAAAATATGAACATTTTGAAAACATCATTTCCAACTTAGAAAAGGACCGAAATATTATAAAATAAAAACAAATTATGTGAGATTAAATCCCAAATCTGAATATAGTAAAATGGCCAAAATAGTTAAAACTAAATCCAAATTTGAATATAGTGAGACCAAAATCTCATTATCCCAAAATTTCATGCTTCAACTCGCAGAGATCCTAATAACCAGCACCAGCACGGAGTTTTATAAGCTCAAAAAATGCAAGTTTTACGGTCTACAGGTTCACACACCAAAACACAAGCAAGTTATTTTGTATTGCATTGGGAATCATGACACACAAAGATGATAATAGAGGTCTGCACAACCTCATACAAGAGGTTATCAACATTGAAAGTGACATCAAATGCGCCTCTATAAGAGAAGAACCAACCAGCTAATGGTATCATTGAAAAGATTTATATCGGGGTCAAGCCAACAACTCCTGTAGAGAGATTACCAGAAAAAAAAAAAGACAGTAAATGTCCACTAGCTTTGATATGTATCCTGGAAAGATCACTTAGTCCGACACTAAAAACTTGATTGCCATATGGCGGAATCGACAATATTATGTACAACGTAAAACATATAGATACATATACCACATTCATTGTCATGCCATGGATATGCAAGTATTTCAAAAGTTCAAGAGTCCATCTCAGATATGTGTGTGATTGTTTAACTAAAATAATCAAGTGAAAAATAACTATGCTCAAAACACGGATGCAAGAAAACGAAATCAAGGATGAGTCTGGAGTTCTTGTCTGCTCTGTAAACATATAGGAATGTAGATAAAAAGTACAAGTGCACATACCGCATGCCAATCTTCCGCCAGCATTGCCAGTGGTTAGACTAAGTTCATGTCCACCTGAAGATGCATAATAAGAAACAAATATAAGCAAGCCAAACTAAAGTAGGAAGTAAATAAGAGGGAAATCCTGTAATCAAAAGGCGAAACATGCCCACTGACTAACAAAATCAACTATGATGAAACGTGCATTGAAGTTTAAACAAAGAACTTCAGTCCTACATCCAAAGTGCATCATCCTAACATCATAAATAGCCACTGCAGGTCACTCTTCTCTCCACAACTTATGAGGGAAATTAACTCGTTAAGGAACTGTGAGAATTGCAATTCAAAAGTTACCCTTTCCAAGATCATCCTCAAGCTCATGAACCACAAGTGCTCTTCCAACGACTGCATTGGGGCCACTTAGTGGTATCTACACAAGAGAGTCAGAGTTAAGAAATTGAAAAGGAAACATGATCTAGAGGCGCGCACACTGAAATGGAAAATTTCATGCTCAAACACATGAGAATATCCATGTATGGAGATTTTCATGGGAAGAAACATGAGTTTTTGAACATCACCTGATTATCCACAATTGTTGCCTCTGCCACTCCTGCATTTCAAAACATTGGCCCACAAATAAATTTAATTGGAACACAGACAAATTTAAAAAGAAAAAAAAAACAAAGTGAATCTAAGAATGTATTACCATCGGCATTAGCAATTATGTTTCCCAGGTCACCCGCATGGCGTACTTCATCCTCAGGAGCACCATGTGTCATCTTGTTGGGGTTGAAATGTGCTCCTGTCATTTAAATTAAAGAATTTAAATATACACAAATTGAAACACAAGAACATGCGGCATGATATTCAAATGCAATAAGTTGTACCTGTTGACATGCATCCATTTGTTGTGTCACCATATTCATGCTACATAAAAAAAAAGGTTAAAATCATAGATTTCAAAGAACTTCCATGTACTGAAATCCACTGGCAACAAGTAGCTAAAGCCGAAAACACTCACTAGGTGGAACCCATGAGGCCCCGGAGTAAGACCGGTAATACGAACATTCACAGT